CGCAACCGCCCAGAGGGCAGCCAGGGCTGCCCCCCTCTGCACCCGCATGGGAGCCAGGCCCGAAGGGAGGCAGCATCTGTGGGTAGCAGGCCCAAGCCTCTCCGCCCTGACCCTTTTCAGACCCAGCAGCAGGGGTGCAGGCAAGCGGTAGCGAGTGCAGACTCAGGAGCGCTGCCTTGCGTGACTTTGCAGGCAGGGGGTGCGGAAGTAGGCAGGTGCGTGCCCAGTCTGACAGGGTTAGGGCTAGTGACTTAGGACTCCTGAGAACGCGCTCAGCCCTCACAGTGCTACCGGTGGTTTCTAATTAGTGAGGGCAGTGTGTGCGTGTCTGCGGCACGCCATAAAAGCAGCCGTTTTAATCAGCCGTTGGCATGCAAGGTCAGGCCGCTGCTGCCAGCACTGGCCTGGTGACACCCAGCCCCTGCCATCCCAGAGCAGAAGGGAGACTTGGGACTCCTCCTGGTGGCCGAGACAGATGTGGGATTTCGGAAGATAGAGGGGCTCTGTTACCTGATAGGGTAGGGTTTCTTGTTTTAAAACATTTAATTTTAGTTATTATTGCTGTTTTTAATTTGACCAGAGAGGGACAGAAAAAGAAGGGAGAAAGCAAGCCTCCAGGTCTGGGACTCGAACTGCAGTTTTCCGCGTGTGAGTCCACCACCTTAACCACCATGCCGCCTGCTGGGCCCTGGTTCGGTCTTTATGCTTGATTCTCGCTAGAACAGAAGCCGTGGCCTTGCTCCATGTGTTTCTAAGATCTGTGCAGGAAAAGTGGACAGCAGTGGCGCCTCCAGAGAGTTCTCTGAAGGAGCATGAGTGGACAGGGCTCTGGGCAGAGGGCGGCCACGTTCGGCCAGACCGGGAACAGCACTCGGTCTGCACTGTCGGTACGTGCGTGTTGGAGGAACTCACCCTGTAGTCGACTCCTTTTTTTTGAGAGGTTTTTGCTATAGGGTGCTTGTGCTTGCCAGAGAGAGAGACAGACAGAAAGAGAGAAATCACCCCCAGGAGGCATGGCCACGCCACAGTCCCTTCTCCATTCTCCTCTCAGGATTTCGGGCCCCCACACCCACACATGTCCCTGCCTTGGGTTTTAAGCCACTGGGACTGGGACTCGAACCACAGTTGACTACAGGGAGCCTAGCAACGCTACCGTTACGCCATCTGCTGGTCCCTGCTAGCCACATTTTCTTTCTCTTTCTTTCTTAAGATAGTTTCTTCTGGGACCAGCAGGTGGTATGGTGAAGGGCCCTGGACTCCCACATGGCCGGCTGTGGTTTGAATCCTGGACCAAGTTAAATTAAAAAATAATTATTTGAAAAAAAAAGTTTCTTCTGAGAGGGACGGATGGACACACACATACACACACACACACACACACACACACACACACACACACTCCGCATCAGGGCCAGATCCTCCCCAGCTTCAGTCAGCTCAGATCGTGAAAGGAGAGGCCTGGAGACCCCAGCCTGCGACCTCCACGTGCTGGCCCAGGTGTGTGCCTGCTGCACCGGGGTCTGACCCTGCTGGCTGAAGGTCTGGTGCAGAAAGGAAGGGCCAAGTCGGAGAGAAGAAAAGCGAGCAGGGAGCAGTTGGGACAAGCAAGTTGTCGCCTTGAACTGGACGAGGACAGCAGGGACCAGCCGATGTCTGTCCCAGTCCTCGGGCAGTGGGGAGAGCCTCAGCACCCAGGACGCTGTTTCTCGCTCTGGGAGAAGCGTGGCCCCCCTGCCTGGCCGCCAGGTGTGTTCCACGCTCCACCAGCCTTTACCTGTCCAAATGCGTCACAGCAGGTCTGGCCTCGTGTCTGAAGTGCGGCTGCTTAGGAGCCTCAGTCCTTTGAGGCGTGACCTGGAGCAGCCACCGCCACTTGAACGCTGGGGGGCCTCGGTGCTTGCCACAGTCCTCCGAGGTGAAGAGGGGCTGCGGGAGGCCCGGCCCTGGTTTCCCGTAGTCACTGCCCTTTCTGCCCCCACCTCTGAACTGCAGACTCTGGCCTGGTGGTCCCCAGCGTCTCCTATGAGCTGCATAAAAAGCTGCTGTCGGTGGCCGAGAAACACGGGCTGACCCTGGAGCGGAGACTGGAGATGACAGGCGTGTGCGCCAGCCAGATGGCACTGACCCTCCTTGGAGGGCCCAACAGGTAATGGCTCCGGAGGACTGGGGCCGCGTGTGGGGTGGGGATGCCCTGCCTCGGCCCAGCACAGGCCCTCATGCACAGCCGGGCGGCGTCTCTGCAGAGCGCACAGTGGCCACCTTGCACCCAGAGCCTCCCTCTCAGGGAGAATTGAGAGGACGTCAGCTTGGGTCCGAGTAGTCCAGAGGAGGGACGCCTCCGGCTACATCCCAGAGGAAAGGGTCGGAGTTTGCGAGGCAAGGGGACGCCGAGTGGCATGCAGGCAGGACAGGAGAGCAGCCTCGCCTGGCCGGGCAGCAGGTGGGGGGGCAGAGGAGGCAGCTGCAGGGGGCTCTTGGCCAGGCAGAGCTCGGGCTTGACGGGTCACAGCGGGAGCGTGTCCCTGCGGCGGCACGTGGAGCCCTGTCTGGGTGCCCTGTCGAGGACCCTGTGGTGAAGTGACACTGGCGTATGTTACAGGGGGAGAGCTGGGGCGCAGCCGGTACTCGCGGCAGGCATCAGTGGGTGGCAAGGGGCTGCCTTGGCTGTGGCCCACTCCGCTTCACCTTCTGTTCCAGACTGAATCCCAAAAATGTGCACCAGAGGCCTACAGTGGCCCTGCTGTGCGGGCCCCATGTGAAGGGGGCGCAGGGCATCAGCTGTGGGCGGCACCTGGCCAACCACGACGTCCAGGTCATTCTCTTCCTGCCCAACTTTGTGAAGATGCTCGAGTCCATCACCAATGAGCTGTCTCTCTTCAGCAAGACCCAAGGCCAGCAAGTGTCTAGCCTCAAAGGTGAGTGACGCCGGCCAGGCCAAGGGCGCCTCCCTGGGCAGGTGGATGGTGTGGTGGTGCCACCCAGTGGCGGCAGGTGGGAAGGCGGCACGTAACAGCCCTGCCTCCCTTGGGTCTCACCGCCCTGCCGGGAGCTCCCGCAGCTTGCCTACACTCTTCTCCCTGTCTCACCGCTTAGAGAGCTGGACCATTGCTTTATTTCACACGTGTTTATGGGACGGTCACCGTCTGTCCCTGATGGTGGGGACACGGCACAGGGGTGGGGGAGAGGGAGAGAAGAAGGGAGGTCTGGTTGGAAACTGTGTGTGGTTTAGGCCCAGAGCTGGGGAAGGAGCCTGGCATGGGGTCCCCTTCTGGAAACACAGCCCTTCCTCTGCTGCCTGGGAGGCAAGTCACGCACGACCACAGAGTCCGGGCTGATTTCTGCCATTCCCCTGGTGACCTGGTCCAGTCTGAGGTTACGCCTGCTCTGTCTCTGTCGTTTGTTTCATGAGAGCGAGCAGCACCTCAGCCGGGTCTCAGCCGCCATTCCTCCCTGCAGCCTTTCCTAGCCAGCCCAGTCACGGCCCCTGGGTGTGGGCAGGTCAGCCCAGGAGCCCGGCCTTCCACAGGCTCCCGGAGGGCCTATAGGGCTCATGTGCTTGCCAGAAAGACAGAGAGAGAGAGACAGAGAGAT